ATTAATGTTGACCATCTTCCCTTTTTGTGAAAATGAATTTGAAAACCAGGCTTTATTCTCATATTAAACTGCTGTTATAACAAATCATTTTGGTTTTTCTTGATTTGGATAGTGTTCAGACTTGACATCAGTCTGTGGCGTTGCCTCCATTCCTCTCTTATGTTGAGGAGCTGAGGTGTGAACATTCGAGGTATCATTTTCTCAGAACATGATTATGATTTCATAAGCACAGTCACAAGATTCCTGAACAGTCTGTAAATGAACAACCTGACCTGAAAGTTGTGCACGCAGGTTAGTTGAGGGAATGATGTTTCGAAAGTGCAGGTGATCCACTGACTGAAAAAAAATGTACTGAAAGTAAATATTAGGTTTTTTTGTGGCTGCTGAGGCTGGGAGAGACCTATGATGTCAGAAGTGGCAGCCTCTGCGGGAAGCAAGGATTACCCTCATACAGAGTTTAATTCATCTTTATGAATTAAACCGAGGCAGGCCACCTGTTTAAAAACTACTTCCGTTAACCACAAAATCTCATATTAGAGTTACAATCTGTTAAAGTTTGCTTTAGGTATTAATATTTCAGGCTCAGCAGCTTCTGAAGCTCAAAGTTAGGAACAATCAAAATTCAATGTGTCATTTTGTTGACAGAAGAAATCATCTTAAGTTTTCCATGATGTATTTTGTCATTTACTAATAAGCAAGATATTCTTTGAAAATCACAGCCTAATTAAATTTTTCAATTATCTGTGAATGAAGTCATCTTGTGCTTCTCATAAATGTGATTTTTTTTTATCAACTTCCTAAAATAATTGCTAATGTGATTTTTTGTCAAGAAAAAAAAAATCTCCAGATCTTTAAAAAAAAAAGTTAAAAAAAAAAAATGCATTTTTGGCAAAAAATGACTGAGGCCTTTATTTTAGGAAGGTGTTAATGGTATCATCACCTTAGTAAATAATAAAGCTATTTTTTAATTTTGTTCAGTTCCTAATGAATATTAATACTAATCAATATTGATATATTAATACTGATTAATACTATGGAAATAATCTTGATTAATTGTAATTAATAATTTTTTGATCATAAATCAATCTATAGTAACTAATTCATTAATTAGTAGTAAACAAATCAACATATTCTGTAACATATTTATAGATATTTAATGAATAAATATGAATTCAATACTATTAATTAAACATCATATTAATTAATAGTAATTCATATTAATATTATGATTAATAGTGTTTGATTTTACTGTGATTTTGACAAGCATTACCTAGGATTTACAAGAAGACCTTTGTTTTTTTAAAGTGATGGTCTCAATCATTTGTTGATTTGGTTGCCATACAAAAACATTATGACAAACATGTAGAACAATTTTCCTGTAACCACCACCTTCATTGTTTAATTCATCCTGAATGCTTCGCTCTGGTTGAGTACTCTTCATTTGGAAAGTCCAGTGTCTTACAAGCAGATGAGCCTAATCATGTAAAAGACTATTAAAAAAAAGAGAAAAAATTACTTTTAGTTCCTCTTATCCAGCATTCTTGCTTGTTTTCAAAAACACTGGATATTATTGATAAAATCCAGTGTAATCTAGTGAGCAACTTTATTACTTTCCTACAAATGACAACATGGTGTTAAGACACAACTGTATCAACATCTTTTACCAGCGAACTGTGTCCTGTACATTACCCAGTGGATGTCCCTAAATACCACTCATAAGAATCTTTCCCATGCATCCCATGATGTGCCAATCTTAGGAGGGACTAAACTAAGGTTAGTTTCAAAAGTGCAGGTTATCTGCAGCCTGTTATTCATAAAGCAGTACTGAAAGTGAATAATTGGTTTTGTTTTGTCAGCTTTGGTTTGTATTGTTCCTTGTCGTGTGAACAAACTCTTCGGATATTTGTGGTTTCTGAGGTTGAGAGGCACCTGGGATGTAAATATCTGAGAATATATCAAAAGAAAAAAAAACTGTCAGGTACTCAAGATATAAAATTCAATTTCTTATTATTGAAAATAACAAATTGCAATAATAATAAGTCAACTTGGACTTTAAGACCTATTAATAACTACTTAGACATGATACGAAGTGATACAAGCTACTACATCTTGGCAGAAACCAGAAAACACAGATGTAAAAATGTTATGTCTAAATGTTAGAAAATATTTTATTTATAGCAATCAAGATGTTCATGTAAGAGATACATATGAAATCCTCTGTAATTTCATAATTGTAAATTATGAAACATTTTTACTTGCTGTGATGATTCACATCATGATTTTATTTTAGACATTTTAATCATCACATTCGTTCATTTCAATCTCACAAAATGTTTGCAAGAAATTTCAGTTCTAAATGTTGCTACTATATTGAATGTCATGTTGCTCTAAATGTAAAGATTTTCTTCTTTATCTAACTGTCACATCATTATGGTCTCAAGAAAAGCGGCAAGTAAATAGAAGAAGGAAGTTATTCAATTTAACCATTCTAGTGTTAAAATGCAATCTATTAAATTCTGTATCTGCTCTACTGAAAAGTTTATTTCTTGAAAAAAGAAAACTGATGAAGTGAATCTTTGGTTCATGTATTTCTTCACTTGTCACATTTTGGTTCATGCTGAAATCACAGAGGACTCGCACTTCAACTTGGACTTTAAGACCTATTAATAACGACTTAGACATGATTTATTTGACTCGTTTATGTTCACCAAACACATATTATGGTCAAATATTATTATTATATTCTTACACAAATAATGTCTAAAAAGATAAAATAATCAATCAGTTACATGACTTGAACCTGCAATTGAATAAAAGTACATGAAAGCTGTGAAAATATAAAGAAAATGTTAAGCAGCATTTGTGAAGTTTTACCATGGAAGTGCTTTTGAATACCAACAATATTAGTGTTAGTATTCAACACTAATATTGTTGAATATATTAATTAATTAAACAATTGATGGAGTTAATCAATTGTTTAATTATCAATATTTCTTTCTTCAGAGAAGCCAACTTTAATTGTATTACAATTATATTTGAAAAACCTCAAAGTCATAAACCAGGTTATGTTTGCAACACACTGATAGTATTATCCTTGGTTATTACCGTCCCTGTAAACTCAAGAAGTAATGTCATACAGCTTTGTTGCCATCTTGTGGACTTTTAGGCGAAAAGCACTTATGACTTATGAGCAAAATCTAACAAATAGATGACAAACAAACAAACAAAAAAATGCTAAAGAAGAAAAAAAAAGAATTTTCTATGAAGACTAGATAATCATGTGAAGACCAAATATTTTGTCACATATTTTTTCCATTGACATTGTGCAACATGTAATGTAACTCTAACCTCCTGCCAGTTAATGGATCTCGGTATAAATTGCTGTATCAATTTATTTAGCATTGGATTCCCTTGAAACCACACAGAGAGAAGTGTACATGCAAAGAATGCATTGTTTGCATCACAGATTCAAACAACGCATCTCTGACAAGAGCAAAAATTCATCTGCAGTAACTTGATACTGACTCGTGTCAATTTAGAAAACATCCAGACATGCTTTTAAGGGCCACTTCCTGCCATTATAACCCACAACCTAATCAAGCAGTCACTTTATCGATTATCTTTGCAAAGGCTATGATGTAACACAAAATGCTGGTTTCAACATTGCCAGTAAAACGAGCCCATACAGATTTAGCTCCTTTTTTTTCTGGGCAAAATTACAAAAAAGCACAAGTGCTGTGTATTGTAAAATTCAGGAACTCTCCAATGAGCAGTGATTTCTGTTTATTTATTTTTGAGCTTTTGAGCACTGCGCTGACCCAGCTTGACCCAACGAGTGAAACCTAAACCTTACTGCAACTGGATCTTATTGAGCTCTTGCCAGAGAGGAGTTTTAGACTATTTGCAGTTTGAAAGATCCACGTCAGCGCCACAGACAGCAGGACCCCCGCCCTTCATTTTTCCTACGGGAGGGCGTGTACGCTGTCCGTGGTCCTGAAACAATCCCACACCTCTGCTCGACCTGACTCTCCTCGCACTGTTTTGGATTTGAAGACCAATTGTTGTTTGTTTCCACGAGTCCAGGTCTCGGTTAGGAATTGAGTGGGCTAACGACTTAACGCCTGATACATTAGAAGGACTTCTGAGTACAATAAAAAAAGTTAAAGTCGGGCTTGTTGGAATAGAGTTGTTTTTGTTTGTTTGTTTTTTTGGGGTGTGGGGGGACATTTAATCTGGTCGCTTTGCTTTTCCTCTGGGCATGCGGTGACTCGTTGCTTCTATGTCTTTTTCGGTTCCGATCTCAAACAGATATGTTTTCCAGCAGACGTGGAACGCTGACCGTCTTCAGCATGTGCCTCCTCACCCGCACACTCGTCTCCTCGTACCGACGATGCCAGCTGAGCATCTGCAGGGACGACGAGATCTGCTGCAAAAACGCCACGCTCGCCCCTTGCTGCAAATCTCACGCGGACAAGACTTACTACAACATCGCCATGGTCACGCGGAAACTTTCAGGGGTGCTCATCATGCTGCTCCTCTTCGCCCTGGGCTACTTCATCCAGAGGATGCTGTGCTCCAAATCCAGGCAGCACAGCCCGCCGCCAAACGGACTGCCGCCGATCACGATGTCGCAAGAAATGCTCATGGAGAGCTGTTCGCGGGACACCTTGGCTGATCCACCTCCGGCTTCTGCTGCACACGTGAACCTTCCCAAATACGAGGAATGCAGAGATCTCCCGACTTACGAGGAGACCGTCGCGGGTGGAAGCAGAGGACGAGCGGGACCCTCCAGGACGAGCGACGCCGACGCTGTTTGAACACGCTTGAAACTTTAAGAAGTGGCGATCTGCGATCTCCGGCTAATGTTTCTGTTTTAGGACTTAAACTGTTTTGAATTCACCGTATTTCCTTGTTTGATCAATGTTAAGACACCATTTGCTTGTTTGCCGATCAGAGTAAAAATGTGTTGACAAACACTGATGTTTCTTCCCGTGGCTTTTATTGAAAATGTTGAGCGAAGTTACATCTGCTGCTCTGTTGAAGTTGAAATAATATTATTCCGACTCAAGCTTGAAATAGTTGATGCTGCGACAATATTTCAGTATTATGGTTGTCTCTCTGAAGATGATTTAACTTCCATACACTGTTTAAAAATTAATAACGTTTCCATTATATTTTAATCGGTATTTCCGAACATAAATTATGTATGATATTCAAAATATTGCAATGCAGTAAGAAATTTCAAACATATTTTTATGGGTTTTTTATGTTTATTCAACTAAGTTACATTTAAACGTTCCTCTATCATTTTGCCCTTTTGACATCTCTTTCTACAGCAAAACAAGACAAAACCAGGTTAGGTTTCTCCTTGCAGTAAAACAATGTCTAAATATTGTAGCAATAAATATTTCTAATAAACTGGAGGCAAAAGCGAATGACTTTCATTTTTAATTTAACCTGTTTTTGCCCTATTGAGATAACAGATCTCGTTTACGAACCTGGGCAGGATAGCAGCACCACAGTTCAATAAGATTTCACAACGGAGTGGTAAATTAATAAACGTCTCAGCGGCCACAACTTTAAACTGATCAGCAATATTTTCTTGCCCATGCTGGTCAGTCCAAGATTTTTCCAAGCATCAGATGTCGAAAACCCAAAAGCTTTCTTTTGCACTTCATGCGCTTGGAATGACAGTTTTCAAAAAATGTCAATTGAACAACGTAGCTACACTTTGTGCGTTCATATTTCAAACGGACTATTTAAAGAGCATCCAGAACCAGGAAGGTGGGCATAACGACCACTCGTGTGGCGCGTCTTCAGTGTCGACATCGAGGAGAAAATTGAATAATCAAAACAAAGTATTCGATGTCATTATAATCGAAAAACTGTGAAACACGACTAATGCAGGAAGCTTAAAAAGTCACTTATTATGACATGTGTTGTTCTGTGAACTGCACAGAACAATCATTTGCATGATATGATTCTCAGTTCGCAGTTGGCGCAAATAAGTTAAAAGAGGTACATATCATACACAGTGAGCTTATTGTTTGCTATTCGATCGCAGGTAGTGCACCGTGTCCTTGATATTGTCTTTGACGGCTCCAGGCTCAGAGGGGAGTCTGACCATGTGAACCACTCGCTTAAAGGCCTCCTCGACTCCGAACCCCGTCGAAGCGGAGCACGGCTGAACGAGCCAGTCTCGACCCGCGCACGTCTTCCTCATGTTGAACTTGTCCTTCATCTCGGTGACGGTCAGCGCACCGCTCACGTCCTGCTTGTTGGCGAGCAGAAGGACCGGGCAGCCCCGCAGATGGTCGCTGCGCAGCGCCTTCTCCATCTCGCCGCGCGCCTCATCCATGCGCCCAAAGTCCGAGGCGTCCACCACAAACACGACGGCTGCCGCGTTTTGGTAATACTCCTGCCAGTGTTCGCGCATCCTCCCCTGGCCACCGACGTCCCACACGGTCACGGAGATGTTCTTCCTGTTCTTTCTGGCTTCCAGCATCTCCACGTTGAAGCCGATCGTCGGGACGGTGGAGACGCTGACGTTGTGCTTCAGCTTGTAGAGAAGAGTGGATTTTCCAGCATTGTCCAGGCCCAGAAGAAGGACTTGAACCTGTGGTTGTTTGGAGATCGGATGGCCCATGGCGGTGTGGATTCGCACAGACACTTTAATGGTGTGAGGGGCAGCTGCATATCCGGCCTGGTGTAATGTTTGCACAATGCGTTGCCCGGAGTTTAATAGATAAGCTATTATCTCTGTGCTGACTATGATTCACTGTACTCTGATAAGTCGCGGAAACAGGGGCAAAGTTTCGACCTATCCTTCATTCAGAGTTGCATGATCTTTCCACCAACCAAAAATAGTATTATTTTTATGGGAACATTAAGTGAGGATGGGTGATTAGGTATTTGTTTAACAGGTAGTGACGGTTGTTGAATAAAAGACATCCTGCCATCCCCTTTGTGGTCATAAAAGCAGAATATTACCGTTTGAACTTCACAAATGGAAACTGTTTTGAACAGTCTGTAATAGTTCAAGTTTGAGCGCCCACAATATAATAGCTGTTATACTTTTCTGTATCTTTTGTGATGAAAACACCAAGACAAGCAGCTGGATATTCCCCTTTCTCACAACGAAATGAAAAAGGATTTTATTAACTTTAAAGTATGTTTTAGAAAATGTATACATAGAGAACAATATACTTCAACACTGAGCAGTTAAAAAAAGAAAACAACAACAAAAAGCCCCAACAGATCCCATCAAAAGAGAACAAAAGTCTTTTTATTTATTTATTTATTTATTTATTTATTTATTTATTTAAGACCAAATTATTAGTAGTATATGATGCTAATTTCAGCAATTCTAGCACTGTTGGTGTGCAGACATATCAAACAGCCCATTTCTCTTCTGCCCCTCCAAGGGTTTGTGTCAAAAGGTACCATAGTTAACACGTGACTGTGACGATAAATTTCCATCCAACCCTTCAAACCATCCATTTTCAGATCACCCTTCTCCCTATCGGGGTCGGGAGGTGCTGGTGCCTATCTCCAGCTGCGTTCTGGGCAAGAGGCAGGGTCACCCTGGACAGGCCGGCAGTCTGTCACAGATAATAAATTTCCAATATTTAAAAATTTTAAAATCCACTCAACATGGCATTAATGACAAATCTAATTAATCATAAAATATTTCAAATATAAGCAATATTTGACCATCATAAAACAAGACTGTAAATCTTTCCGCCTGCCAGTGCTTAAGTATAAATCAAGTTGCACTAGGCAGTAAAACTTAAATGAAGTGTGGAAAATGTCATTCAGGGAGTCTGAGTCCTCAATACAACAGATACCAAAACGTTCAATGTAAACACTGGGGTCAGACACACCATATCTTTTCAGTAATAAATAAATAATTTAAAAAGGACATATGCACAAATAATAATTAAAGTGAAAAGAAATGTGGTCTGACTTTATAAAAATGTACCAGTTCTAATTCTTAAGGTTTTACATTCAAACTAAAATATCAAAATGTAATACATACAAATGAAGTTTTTTTTTTTTTTTTTTTTTTTTTTTCAGTGCTCTATAGCAATAAATACAAATAAATAAATAAAAAGTAGAGAAAAATAAATAAAGCTTAGGTCAGACTTTGGAAGGTTCTACTGACACACATTCCAGTGAAAGTGGTTCCAGCACTTTATCCGACTTGACTTCTCTTTTTGTTTTGACTTCTTTTTAAAATAATAAAGTATACTTTACTCAAACGATTGAATCCATTGCAAAATCCAATGGATCAATGCCCAATAAATGAGCAACACGTGGCAGTACACATGTAACACTGAGTTCGTAAATGCAGGCTTCTGCCTGCTCAGCGTAACCCACAGTTGCACGTAAATCACTGCAGTGATCGGTGTGCAACCTGCTCCCCAGAGACTAACAGGCCTTTACGCTCGCCCCGCTCCACAAGCTGTAGCGTAGCTGAACATCAGCTTTAGGGAACCCAAATGAAAGGAACCTGAACAGAAAGGTATTCAGTCACAGCTCTACTGATTCTTCCAGTAAAATCCATGGCATTCCATGGATCAAATTTTCTTCCCATCAGGATCTGGTCCATTTTTCCCTCGGTTTCACCCAGACGCCACCTGTTGGGTTATCCATCACGTACACCAGTCCCTCTGTGTCACAACCACTCAGAGCCCAGGACTGGGGTGAAGATTTCTCCGCGGTCCAGGCAGAATGATGGAGACATCTCACCGGGGAGGGCACCTTTCTCTGAATGTGGACAATGGAGGATGGAGCAGGGGATGGATCCATTTTCAGCCTCATGTCTTCTGGACAACAGCGGTGGAAAATAACGCGGGCTTCAACAGGGGGTTTGGATTCGTGTTGTCCCATGCCGGTTGAAAGCTCAAGTAGCTTATTGACAGCTCCCAAAATGAAGTAAATGTTATTCTTTCTTCCCACAGGCACTTTTCCTCTGTCATCAATACCCTTCTGTTCTTTCGCTTATATTTGCCAAGTACACATGGCAAAGTGTTCCGGTAACACTGAGGTGTGACACATTTGCTTATAGGGCTGTTAGGCACCAATGTGGGGGGCGTGGGCATAGCAATAAGCTCATGTTCAAGCTATATTAAGTCAGTCCACCTGCTGCAAGCCGTCTCCGACCTTGAGTCAGAGGTGCCACCAGGGGGGACAATGTCCACCTCTATAAATACAAAAAGGCTTGTTCCAATTATTTTTTTCTGTTCTTCTTTTTCATGGTACAGTGATCTGCGAAAGTATTCACCTCCTTTAGATTGTTCTTTGTTTTGCTACCTCTCAACCTGGAATTAAAATGGAACATTTTAGTGTGTGCATAATTTCAATTCCACACAAACTACAACCTTGAACATTTCAGTTTCTTCTTTTTATGAGTTTGCTGCTTTTGATGCATCACCCCAAGATTGTTAGTGCCATCTTCCCATTTGGGCCCCCTTACAAAACTTATTGAGGTGCTTGCAGAGGGATGAGGAGTTGTGTACTCTCCTTTCAGGGCGAATGAACTTGCAGGGATGACATCGAGAAGAAGCTATTTCTGGCCTGACGGGAGCATGGCTGGTGGGGTCCAACAAGATCATGTGTTTCCCAGCATTAGCTCAGTACTAGTGAGTCATGTAGTAGCCACAGTAAACTGACTGATTTACTGTGCTTATTTAAACTTAGCGTCCTTTTTATGAGCACGCAGCTTATTCAAATTCCAGAACAGGTGATGAAAAGTCTTTATCTGATGATAGCTGCTTATGTTTTCATGTTCTGTGCTCTTGAGCAAGGTATTCAGAACTGACGGGTTCTAAATACCTGTTATCTTACGCGTGTTTTTATCTTGCCACGTGCGAGATAAAAACATGCATACATTGACATGTTGTTATTTGTATCTTTGTGTGACGTTCAAGAAATTATTTTTCTGGCTTCTGGTATTATAGAGTTGCTAAAAGATGAATATTTTATACAAATTAGCATGGTTTAAATACTCAGAATGCAAACTTGTCAGAGTAAAATGTTTTTATTGTAAACTTCTACTGAGGTACAGAAGGACAGAGATTAAACATACAGTATGCAGATCTTGTCGATCTGCCAGAGACATCCAAAAAACTCAATAAATAAGGCATCAGGTAACCTGTTAAATAAAGAAAAAATAGTTCTTATGGTTGCTCTCAAATGATAACATAGTCATGGTATAAAGAGGTAATAGTAGGAAGTGAAAGCAGTAGTAAATCAAGTGTGGCTTACTGGAACTTTCTCTGACATGTCGCTGCTGCCCATAAAATCAGCTGTGCTGCTTTGAGAGCATATCCACTTCATTACCAGCAGCATTGCTGGTAATGAATCATCATCTCATTTGTTTCACCACCCAAAGTCTTGTGTGCTCATCTGGTCAAAAACAGCGAGCTATGACCAACACTTTACTTTGTTCATTAACATTGAGATGCTGCAGATGGTGAAAACATTGAAAAGATGTAGATTTCAGATACTGAACCAGGTTTTACAAACATAAAAACCTTTTAATATTACTAAGGTTAGTGTTACAACTGGTTGATATGTCCAAATAACCATTAAAACCTGTGAGCACTCTGAAAAACTCCTTTGTTTTCCCAGCTTTTATGTGCATGTTTAATAAACGAACTCGCCGTTTCGGCCATAATTTCTCTATGAGTACCACCCACCTTCTGCAGACTTGAAAGAGTTAAAAAAAATCCAAAGAAAAAAAACATTATTTTTGTGGAATTAGATTTCTTTCTCCTAGGAAAAGGAGAAAGAAAATTGACGGAAACCTTTTAAACAATTCCATCAAAGCCTGTTCACAGAAAAAAAAAAAAGTACATTGATCATCTCAGCTTTGCAAATGCTATTTAGTAGTCATTTCCAGAAAAATCAGCAACATAAACATTAGCGAGTAACAACAGCCAAAATGTGCATCAGCTGACACAAAACATCCAACGTTTTCATTTTTTTGTTGTTGTTGTTGTGACAAAACTAATGTTGGGAGTCAGGATCATCAAGCACTTCTGCCATGCTGTTATTTATCCAGCCTTGAATGTATGTGTATCTAAAGAATGTATTTTACACAGGTCTGAACAGATGGAAATGAAGTGTATTTTGTGAAAAATCAGGATGTTACACCGATTTAATATGTGAGTGTGCAATTTACACTTTATTGTAAATTACTTTAACAGCTGGTATACAGATGGAAACGATGAGTATTTTATTACTCATCAAAGTGCAGCTGGTGTGAACCAGCTGCACTTTGTATAATCACTGTTTCCTTTTAAATCCCATTTTTCTTGACTCTCTGAAAATGGAAGCATACTTCGCTTCAGGGACCACAAGTGTCGCAAAGTGACACTTGTATCTAATCGAATGATTATTAGCCGAAACAATTAGAGCAGCTGGAGTCACTTGAAGCACTCAGCTGAGGCAATTAAATCTTCTCCAGCCTAGATAGAGTGTCTGCATATAATATGTTGAAATGTTCTTATCAGGTCATTACTGCAATAATTCCACAGCATCTCAAAGCTGAAAGTCTGTAGTGCCACAGAATGTTTCCATATAAGTGGAAAATTGATGGTTTACCTGAAGATCAGGATTTGTCTTTTCCATTCAGACATTCAGATGCATAGGAAAGTGATGCCGGCACGTTATTTGTCTTTGTGTGACGTAACACAAAACCAACAAACAATAGTATAATTGTTCTATGGACTTGGTGAAATCTTAGATTACATATTAGGATAAAAAAACCTAAAATTATTAAAAAATAATCAACTGCAAATTCTATTTTGTTTGCAAAAAACCCCCAATTAACTATTAAATTTTTCATTTCAGAAATTGCAATAAAAGAGGCTTCTCTTTTATCATTTACACTTTTTTTGACTACTTTTTGGAAGACAGCAAACAGATGTAGAAACATGTGCTTCTTAAGAGTTCGATAAGTAAAGGACCTCCAAAGTCACAGCAGGAGCACTCTGTTGTCTGCTGCCGTACTGGTCGAGTCGACAGCTTATTTATAGAATCCATGCAGTTCAGCATGCATTAATGCTGAATGCATGCTAAGGGCGAGACTGTCAACATTAAACAGGAACCATTCAAGTATGCAGGGGGTAAGTTTTGTACACTCAAAGGTTAGATTTGTGCACAGCAATGCTTCAAGTTAATTAAGTATATTGGATCTGCTGTAGCCTTGTTGTTTCATATGACAAACTGCTTCTGTTCAATAAGAAAGATTAGATACATACAATTCAGAGCATCAACATATTACCACAAGCCCGTGGTTTTGCATTTACAGCTTTAGCACCTTCCTATAGTAACAGTTTTTTCCTCAAAGCATCCCATAAAAAGCTTCCAGTGGAGTTGTACTGTCCATGTGCAATTTATAGTAAACAGAAGTAAAGCAGTCACAGTCTGGTATGTGCTGGTTAAGAGAAAATCCCGTGTCTGTAGTAGTTCTGTACCTTCTCTGCACTTATGTTTTTTTGTTTTTTTTTTCAAGAAATGATCATTCATACAAAGGTTAGTTACAGTATGTTTAAATGTCCTTTTCTGCATAACTTGACGATTGAAAAACATAGCTTTATTTTTACATGAGGAAATTTATGTGCCGACTTGTTATAGGTGCACACCTCAGCTTTCCTGTAACCTTCCTGCTGCATCCAGACGAGGGGTAAAAAAAAAAATCCTTCTGAGCACAGTGTGAGCTACACACCGGCCTTGCTACTGCCCCCAGCTCCACTTTTAAACTTTACCACCATGACTGTGATATTGTCGGGGCAGCCGCGGTAGAACGACTGGAGTACGATGCTCTTGGCACCGAAGTGAGGCTCGTCCAGGCGCTCGCGGACGAAGCGCACCGCCTCCTCATTACTGAAGGCATCCCAAAGGCCGTCGGATGCCAGGATCATGAACTCAGGCTGTAGTTTGTCCAGGTCAAAGGTCATTATATCTGGGTCGGGAATGACCACGTTCAGGTTCTTGAGAGGGTAGTCCCCCAAGGACCGAGACATGGCCAGGATTCCCTGAACTCGCCAGGATCCATTAAAACTGATGAAACCTCCTGCAAGTAAACATTAATACAAAGTTATTTCAGAAAAAAATGTCTTCTTCTGTTATGAAAAAGCTATTAAAACAAATTGTGACGTGGTTATGATCACTAAAAGGCTTTTATGGTATAGCTGTTTTGCAACAAATGAAATTAATAATAAAAATGATATTTGAGAAAAAGTTTAAGTACTTTGTAAAAACAAGTCTGATGAGGTAAAATTAGGTAAACTGATAACTCGACTTGGGTTAAAGTGGGTAAACGTTTAAAAAAAAAAAAAGAACTATTTGACAGGTGAACTGGACGCCATAGAGATTCTTAAACGACCTAATAAAATTGAGGGAAAAAAAAGAATAGAAATATAGAAGCCAGCAGTGTCTTACATAATCAAAATACAGAATTTGCAGAGATATCAGTGTGTAGAATTTCTTTTTTCCTGATGCAGTATATTTTAACAGAATGCTATTTTGGATTTCCCCTATAGATGGCAACAAAGAACACTAAAATCACAGCGAAGGGTGTTGCAGTAGATTATGTTGGATGCATTGCAGTGCTGCCTCAGCATCTACCTGCTCTCTTGATCCTCTTGCGCTCTTTCAGCTGGTATGGCTTGTGGTCGTGCGACAGTGCAACGGCGTTCCCGTCTTTGTCACACAACACTCCGCGAGAGTCTCCAACGTTGGCCACAGTGAGCTCTCTGTCTGACAACAGAGCCATCAGGCATGTGGTACCTGAATGAGAAGTTCCAAGGGAACAGCAGAAACCAGAACATGTTTAAAATCACATCATAAAAAATTCAAATATTTAAAATTTACTCAATATCTTGTTTTAATTACTACATAATTGAAAAAATATTGGATGTTGGATTTTCTTTTTACAAAACATTATCTGAAAAGTGTATTTGCATCTTTCATCAAAATTTTCCCTACAGGGTATGTTTAGGATGATGTAGAACAGATTTTTTATTTTATTTATTTATTTACTTTACCAGAGATTGTTTTAGGCCACATGAAGAGAGTACATGACAAAAATAAAAAATTATTGCGCCAAAAGTTTATCGTAGTTTATCATAGTTTCTCTCTTCATTGGGTTCTGCGGTTCACGTTAATTTATCCCCCTCCCTCCGGCCGCCCGCCTCCCCCTCCCGACCTGCTTCATCATGGTTGGCGGAGAGCTTGTCCAGCATCTCCCGATCCACAGTCAGGATGCGCTGCTCAAGAATGCTGGCGTAAGAGACAGCGCTCTCCCTCTTCTCCCTCTCCAAGGTCTGCAGCTGCTGCCTCAGAGACTCAGGCAGGTGGGCCTTGGCATAATCAGCTGCAGCCTGCGGCAGACAGGAAGCCAAAGGAACACAAACAGACCCACAGTGGCGATTAGAGAGACACGACAAGAAAGTGGAGGCATAGAGCAGAGTTGTGCTTTGCGTGGATGCTGTCACTGAGCTCAGAAATGCCATGAATGTGATGGAAATTTGGACAAAGAGAACAAGGTTTGCGTCACTTTGACTGGATTTTGCCAGATTTCATAATAACTTTATTATAAGCTGATCTGACATGTTTTTCTATGAGTCTTTGGTATTATTTTACCGTGTACCATTGAGCTGCATTGAGCAAGCAGCTAGTCGGAGCTGAATCATTGAACAGCCTCCTCATCTTTCACAAACAACTACTTGCTTCTTCCCTCAGTTTTCCTGCTAAAATATTTTTTAGACCAAATAATGCAATTAACCATCTTAATTCCTTTCTTTATACAGTCAATGTTTCTTACACCTTGAAAACAAATAATTTAAATCATTTCACATTATTCATGATGCTGCTTTCTGATGTGGCGATGTGCTTAAACAGTTTACAGCAAATATGGCCTTTCATGTGAAGTTTGCTTTCAATTTCTATTTTCAGAAGTAAAGCTTCCCTTGGCAGGGACTTGACTGCGCACAGCACAAAGACAGCCACAATGCTGCAGCGAAGTTACAGTGCTAACGATCGCAACGCCCTCTCTTCAGTTTTCTTTAGTCAAACAGTTTGTCATCCTGCAGAATGTGAAATTGCAAATCCGCTGCAGCAAAGGTGTGTGAACCAGAGGAGAGGCATTAGCCCGAGATTATGAAATTGTAGATAAAAACAAAATCCTACTTAACATGGGAGAAACATCGTCACTTTTCTGCCCCTCCCCTCACCTCCCGTTCTGCTGAAAGAGTACTTGCGCATTATTTAATTGGATAGAGTGGTACTCTTTGAGACTGGATGAGGGAAAGAGCTTTAAGTGCAGTTTTCCATTTGCAGCAAAAGGCAAAAAAAAAAACTGCAGGATTAATGCAGTTGCAAACCTTTTTAATAGCCAAAAGATTTTACTGCTGGTGCATTTAATTAGTGAATGTAAAATATGGGAGCTGTGGTATTAAAAGTGGACTGATGTGTAGCCTGGGTTTCTTGCTGACATCACTGTTATATCAAAATGGTTTTGCTCCTCTCTCAGCCTATGGCTATAAACTTGAATTTGATAGAGCAAAGTTGTAAATGTGTGTGTGTGTGTGTGTGTGTGCGTGTGTGTGTTTCCACAACATTAGTCTCTGTATATCAAGCTCTGAAAGCAGCAGCAGCAGCTATAGTGCTGACTTTCATTTTCAGGGGCACAACTCATGATTCAATGAATACAGCAGGGAGGGGGAAACAGACATGTCTAAAAAAATGTTCTTTGTGTTTTCAGGTCTGTGACACAACACACTGTTCCAGTTCTCCTCATATTGCGCTGCAGGAGCATCACTTCATTCAATATAGTTTTAATGCATTCACAACTGATTCCAAAGCAGAAATCTGTCTTGACGCTTAAAAGGAGAAATATATGGAAAAATGGGTAAACAAGTGTATGCATTTGTTGTCTAATGCACAGTAAACAACAAAAAGTAACTTGACATAAAACAATAGCCGTTGCCGTGAGGTATTGCCATTGAGCGTGAGGCAGGGTTATCAGACTGATAAGAGCAACAAATATTAGTGTATAGGAATAAAATAAACAAAGAAGTCCAAATGAGCAAACACCGGCTACACTGTGTGTGCTGCCACAGCATGTAGGACGGGCGCATCTGACATTTCTTGTAAACCAGACAGAAGACCACGAAAGTTACATTTCCAAGATTTAAACTTAATTAGCAAATTGAGGGTAAATTTATGTTTTTTTGTTTGTTTTTTTTTAATATGTAAGCCATTGGCCAGTGACCAGAAATGGAAACTTTGAGCTTGACTTCAGCAGTTCCTCTGGTTTATCTAAGAAAAACTAAATGTTGTCACTGAAATGACACTAAAAACAATACATATTTTTATTGAGTTATTTTTTTCCAGAAATATCAAAATCCCATACAATAAAATGCTCTCATTGATTTAGTTGAAACCTAAGAATTAAGAGAAAGTGGCAGTTCTCTGAAACTGACAGGAGGTTTTCTATTTCTATGTTAACAGTAGATATTTACAACTTATCACTTTCCAAACGGTCATGCAACATTTGCCACTCTAACAAGTTTTATTTAGCTAGACTGAGGTCAACCATTGGCTGATGCGTCGTATCTATGCAGTGACAAGTTCTGCGAGCCAGAACACTGCAGTGTGGACATGTGTTGTGAAAGGGAGACAAAATTAGCTTTATTCAGTATTTTTATTCTGAATCCTTTATTCAATATCAGCAAGGTGTTTAAAAAGGAAGTGGGAACGCACACAGTTGACTCCCATTTTAACACTAACCATGCTGTTGAAAAAGATGCAGTTTAAGAAATCAACTTAAACTGCAACTATAGCAAACATTTTTTGTCTTTTTTGTAAAGCAGTGTTTTTTCTCATTTCAGAAATAATTAAAGAACACCACTGAAAAGTCTAGGAATATATATCTTGGAATCCTGCTAAAATTGGTCATGAGGCATTTGAAACAGAAACAGGAACTGATTGACAAGTTTCTTAAATATTCTCATTAAATTTTACCAACTGATTACAACAAAAGGAAAACTAGTTCACTTTCAATCCAAGCAAACTACATGCTACAGAACCGATCACTACACAAGCATAAGAACTTATTATTTTGGTACAACTAGTGACAACTAAAGAAGACTTGCTTCATGCACTGAAAGTGTTTTTATAGCCAGGCAGTGCTCTCACATTTAATTCAGTTCAGTTTGTTAATAAAGCCTCATTTCACGACAGGTGTCGTGTCAGGGAATGATGGGCTCTAAGATTTCAATGTCAGGAAATGTCGACCAGCAAACGGAAACAGAAGCCGACTCTCTTAAATACTTAAGCAGCACGAAAGCATATTTGTGACGATAATGCAAACTGTAAACTTGTCTCCTCTTTGTTGCAGAGAGTGCAGAGCTCACAGGATCCATCGCTCAGAGAAGTCTCAAACTGCACTCCCTCAGAGACAGATGGCGTCTGAAACCAGAAGTCTTCAGGCTCAGCATGAGAAAATACTGACCCTTGACAGTGAAGGGAGTGAAATGGGGGACAAAAAGCACACACACACACACACACACACACACACACACACACACACACACACACACACACACACACACACACACACACACACACACACCCACACACACACACACCCCACACACACACACACACACACACACACACACACACACACAAAGCTCATTGTTACAACCCTTGAGTCAACTCCCTGAGAGCCACAGCCATTGTCGGGGTGTTAATGCAATGAAATACAAACAAGTAAAAAAAAAGGGGAAAGACTGTTTAGTTTGAAAAGTTTACAAAAATCCAAATAGTCAAAGCAAAGGATTTTTGGTTCAAACTTTGTAATTCATAATTGTTCCCCTTACATGAGGAACATTTTCCCTCCTCACATGAGGAGTTTAGTTTTTCTGGCAAAAAAAAAAAACTAAGAAAGCAAACGTCACATTTGCCTTCTTTGGTTCAGATCGAGTTTGAACTGAAAACAAATGCAACATCCACCGCATCTCAACCCAATGCAGCAGCTGGAGTGAAACGGGCCGGCCGTACAGTACCTCTCCCCCGTGACCGTCGAAAATCCCGAATATGGACGGGTGGCTCTTGTTGGTGATGTCGGTGAGCACCTCGAACCGGTCCTCCATGTGATCCCTCCGGCCCTGTATGGAGTACACGGCCACGTTGTTGTTCTTGAACTCCCAGGTCTTGGAGAACTCCGCATCCAGGACGCTGAGGCCTCCCAGGCGCTCGTTCTGCATCATCTCCGCCACTTTCCCCTTCACCATCTTCACGGCATCCCGGCTGGACTTGACGATGGTTTTCACCTCGTCGGTGTGAAAGAAGTAGCTCCACAGCGCCAGACTGATGCACAGAAGGAACAACGTCTCCGGCCTGAGAAGAAAATAGCGCATGATCCGACCCAAAAGAGACAGGAGCGTCATTGTGTCTCCTATCATCACACGCAACCGAGCTGCAGTCTGACTACCCCCCTCCTCTTTTGGCACGGCTCACTCCATCCGCTCCGCGAAGCTGTAAAGAGATCGATTTACTCTCACGGTGACGGACAAAAAACAACGGGATTTAGGCTCTGAAAACGCTCCTCCGTGGGCCGCTTTCTCCGGAGTCTCCCAAGCGCATTCGCGCACTAATCGGGCGGAGAACCAACGGGCCCGCTCTGTCGGTGACTCTGACCGACGTCTTGGTCCTATCCTCGGCCACCTGAACAGCTGCAAGGGAGCTGAGCAGATCTCCCGCATCCCATCACCGCTGAATGGCCGAGTTTTTGGGTCAGACGCACATCGGAGAGCGACATTAGAGTCTCAGTGCTGTGACTTGGAGGCGTCCTCCTTTTCCGCCTTTGACCCCCTTTTCTTAAGTGTGTATTTAGCCTCCGTATGAATATGATTATTATTATTATTTCCACACTATACGCCTCGTTTCTTGAAAATTGTCTCAAGGAACGGGAGACGACGGGGACGCAGCCGGAAGTGGATCGTCTTAATAAAGCTACGCATGCGACGGAGAAGCAATAAGGTCTGGGCAAAGCTTGCATCGAGAAGCCTTTATTCTGAAAAGACAAAGCGGAAGCGGTTTCTACAATGAACAAAGTGACGCTAAAGTCCACACAGTCTGCTGACAAGTGTGCGCAGCTGCGAACTCGAGCGAAACGCTCGACAAGTCGCACGCACCACGGCTTGAAAATACTGTGACGTCATCCCGCAAGTTAGACTTCAGAACCAATCACAAATCATCTAAAATATTTCCCTATAAAGCATAGCATGTGCTTACGACAATGAGCAAGAAGTTATGATTCGCATTATAGAAAAAAAAAAAACACGCCATATTTCACATAATCCACTAACGTGGTTAAAGAGAAAGTGCATTTTATTTTACTTAATTTAATTTTTAGCTACTTGTTGCTATGCCATTCACTGTTTTAACAAGAAAAACAACATGCACCAAGAACTGCATGCCATAAATGTCGCAGCAAGCTTTTATTTCTTATGTCCCCGAGAAACAACAGTTTATTTTTTTATTAAATACAATATGCCTAACATACAAATAATTGGGCCATTATACCAAAGCATATTTCATATGGCAGAGACACATTTAACTAAATCTGATTTTGGCACTCTTCTTGCACAGATTTGTTATATGCATGGGAATTTGAACTTACATTTGATTTGTTCAACATATTGAGAAAAAGGTTGGAATCTACACCACTTGATAGAATTCCTGCTGCAGAAATGAAGGATATAATGCCATGGGGAATCTAATTACTTATTTAGCAATGGCTTTCATGGTGTATTGTTTGAGGAATCAGAAATTCCAGTTTCAAGGTTTTCAAGCACAAACTTGCCCATAACCTCCATGCACTACAATTCAGTCAGATTGCAGCCGAGATTAAACTCATGCAGCATAGACAGAGAAATAAACAAAGTTCTTTCAGTTTGGCAGGACAATAACGGAATACCTAAGATTAAACCGTGTTCCCGCATTATTCTTCTCTGGTTTTCTGGGCTGATCTTTCAGTGTGCTTGATCAAGGAAGTAAATGGTTGGCTCAGGGTTTCCTTGCCACCTGTTTCAAGACATTGATCCTCCTCCCACAGAGTGTACAGTGATCCATTGATCTGCTTTGAAGTACTGCCAGACAGTGTGATTGCTGCCCTTTACACTTAGTTTGTTATGAAATGCCTTTTCCTGCAAACTGCGTTAGAACAAAATGCATAATGCTAATAGAATCTTTTGTAAAGTTGCATGTCTTCCTGTTTTCAGAAAAGCAAATGTGCATAAATAACTCTTTAATGGTTGATGTAGTCTTGGGGGAATGTATCCATATCCCATTTGTAAAGAAGAAAGCCCTTCTTTGTACACAACCTGCTTTGTTTCGTATCCATCCAAGAGTCACATAATCTGTCCAGTCCAGCCCACCTACGACTTGATAACCATCTGTGTTTTGTTCTTTTATTGGTGTGAAGGTGCCGAAGTTGTGCTACATGAGCAATAAAAAGGGGGGCTGGAAACACCACCAGTCCCTGTTTGGTTGGGATGGAGTGAAGAATCATCACAGTCTACATAACCAGGTAAATATATATATTAGCTTCCTGGATCCTGCTCCTTGCTACAGAGTTTATTTCCAGAAAAATCTTGAAATTAAACTTTAAAATAAACTTGGATTTATTACTTTAAAATAACATATTTTCAACATATGTGTTGAAAATATGTGTATTTTTCAACACGTGTTGAAAGAAGAGGGCTATTGAGATTCTTAGCTGAAATGGCACCGTGGTTAGAAATCTTTAACACTTTATGAACTACATTTTCTGGTATTTACACTTCTTGATTCAAAAAATTTTTCCTTTTTGTTTCCTAATTTATTTGTATTGCATCAGCAATAAGGCAATTCAAATCGCTTTGTATGATAAAAGTATGTAAAGCATGTTTTTTGTGACAAATACATAAACAGACAAAAATATTACATATGGAATATTACTTGTGAAGTATTAATGTATCAGTAGTGTTTCCTGCAAAGGGAATCTTTCAGGTCAGTGACATCAATGCACCCAAATTCTATCACAAACTCTTGCTGTTGTATCTGTTACTGACAAATGTCTCTACCATCAAAGCAGACTGCTTTCTTATTCAAGCTGAAATTACTTCTGCATGGAGAATTTCAGTTTCTCTTCAATATAGGACTTCCGTCTTTTTATTTCAGTTCCACAATACAATTTTAGGAACAACAGCAACATGTGGACTGGCACTCTTTTTATAAAGTACGTCTGTAACCTGGAAGGAGAACAGAAGTTAAAATTGCATGATGGTTTCAATCTTGGAGTTTGACGGTGGTTTCTGGTCTTTGGGATTTTACCACATGCTTTCTAAATCTTTCTGAAGTTTTTAAGCTCTGCATGCTGAAGGTCACCTGAAATCTTTGTGGTTTTGCTTAAAATAAATAAATAAATAAATAAATATGTTGTATTCAAATTTTATGAGTGCCACATGGAGGTGGCAGCATTGTTTCTTTAGTGGAGAAAGGTAAACTGGTCAGAGTTTATTGAAAGTTGGATGGAAATAAATACAGGTACTTTACTGTAGAAAACTTGAGAGAAACTGCCACAGCTTCGAGTCTTGGCTTTTTGTTAGCTTTCTGCCAAGACAAAACCCCCGCAGCAGGGTTCAACGAATGGCTTAAATCAAATCAGATTGTTGTGTTATGATAGTTCAGTTAAAGTCCAAACTTAAGATCAGTTCAGAAGCTCACACAGGGACACAATTGAACATATTACAGAGAAGAGATTAATTTACAAAAATCAAAATAGGAAAACCCTCTATCATTATTCTTCCACTTCACAATTTTGTCCTATTTTGTGTTTGATGCAATCATATTATAGTACTCAGTGTATTTTGAGTCAAAATGCACTGCATGCTATTCAAAGCACATCTATTTTATTCAAATGTGAAACCCTTACTCATAAATATTAAACCTGCTACCTGTGACATATTTAACAGTAATCCAAATTTATTCATTTTAGTAAAATTACAAATGCTGTTTTTCACTTGAACGAGAACCTTGAACTCCACCTCTGCCTATATCGTCAACAGAACTGACTTTTTGATTGGCTTTCGAAAACAATGCTGCTCCTCTGAAGACAGCTATTTATTTTTTTTGTGAATCTTTGAAATAAACAACAAGTAATCCATCTTCTAACTTCCACCTGATCATTCAGCATGCCATCCGCTTCTCTCCTCCTGGTGACCACCGTCTTTATGGCCTTCATTATTATGCTCACGTCTGGTGGCAGAACCACACACTGGCCCAAACCGCAGAACACCAACAAGCCTCCTCAAACTGGGACCAGCGGTTTAGGTGGGGGAGGACGGCTTGGACAGATTGCTACAAGAAACCCATCTCCCTCCAGCAGTCTGCACACAGAAGAAACAACTGGGTTTATGACCGACGGATTCTCCCTGTCACCGACAGACAGCAGCACCTTCAACAGTGAGGCTTACCCAACTGAGTACCTCACTGATGCAATCCTCCCCCCTGGAAACGCCCCTGGAAATTATACTTTTGACTACAATGAATGCTTCTTCAATGTTTGTGAGTGCTGTCCACCAGAGAAAGGTCCCAAAGGACCGACGGGCGAAAAGGGCTCACCGGGGGAAAGGGGCCCGCCAGGTAAGATTGGATCTTTGTTTTCCTTTGCATAAAATTTTGGAGGCCAAACTTAATTTCTCCTCCTATTTTTTAGGGTTACCAGGACAAAAAGGAGAAATTGGACCCCAGGGTTCTCCAGGACCAGCTGGGTTACCTGGGCTCAGTGGACTAAACGGCGAGAAAGGTGCAACAAGAATGAAAAGAAAGATACTTGTTGATGCTCTATTTATGCTGTCTGCTTGTCACAAAAAGTTGTCTTTTTGACAAGTTTTTCTCTTTTTTGTTTGTTTGTTTGTTTTTTCTCCAAAACTGCCAAAGGTGAAAAAGGAGATCAAGGGCCAAACGGCTTACCGGGCTCCCCTGGAATCCTAGGGAAACCTGGCGAGAAAGGTTTGTAGCTTCTTTGAAAAACTAGATTTGGATCACCTGCCAAAACATGTCAATGTTTTTCTCTGTAGATATATTTCTAATGAGGCTACTGACAGGGAATTGTATGTCTGTACAGTATGTCTGTAAATTATATGTGGTGACACAGACAGTTACTATTAAACATGATAACTAAACTTTGATAGGTGATTAGGCAAGGCTGGTATAATTTTTCTTCCACTTCACATATTTTGCATTATGCACGTTAAATTAGAAGATCAGAATAACCTTTGTTTACAAGGCCGACTTCTCAGTAAATGTGATCCAATCTTTCACACAAACTGTCTGGAGATCTTAAAAGTTATGAAGGCATCTACGCTCTCTGATTTTCAGGTATTTCCACTGATTTTGTTTTATGGATTTTGTTTTATGGATTTAAGTCAGATGACTGACTGAATTTTAGTGAACTTGTTTTCTTTTTTCTTCTTTGCTTCCTCTATGTTTTGGATCATAATCTTGGAGGGAGTTGGGCATGTTCTCTCCAGATACTCTGGATGAATGGATGGATTATATTGAAGGATTTCCCTTCAAAACTCTCTATATAAAAATACATTCTTTTTATTTTGACTGGTTCTATGAATGCACTGATGCCTTTTCTGACCAAATTGATAAAAATGCAACAAAGAGTCCAGGCAAAATGATCATGTTGCAACAGTTCTAAAATGTAAAATTTGCAATTAGTCTACAAATCACTTAATAATATTCAGTCAAAACATGTTTCTAATTTGCTGTACTTGTCAAGCATGAACCATGCAGACCGATCAGGCCATCAGAGGCGAGCTAACTCAATGTGGCTAGGAGCGTAACTTTAAAAAGCAGGCTGAGTTGAAATGTTTTTGTTATTTTCCATCGATTTTCCTAAAGGCCTGTTTGGATTACTTTCTTCTTCGATGTTTATGATCTATTTCATCATCATAATGTATTACACATCTTTTATACAGTGAAGGGTTTTGAATCATTTGTATGTGTAGATAGCTCGGGTTCTTGTTGACATGGTGTGAATTTCCAATATGGATATATTTTGGAGAAAAACATTGATGCGATCCCTACTTTTATGCTACAATATTTAAAATTAAAATCAACAAACATACCTGCAAATGGTTTAACTGCATCTCATGATTCAAAACCTTTTATAATTTCTCTCCTTTTTTGTTTTTACATAAACTCTTCACATGCCGCAGGTGATTTGGGCCTCAAAGGAGAGAAAGGTGAAAATGGGATCAACGGGCTGAAAGGAGACGCAGGACAAAAAGGAGAGCCTGGTCACAATGGAACTATGGGTACCATTGGGCCTATGGGTCCTCCAGGGACAGCTGGAACGAAGGGTCAGAAAGGTGAACAGGGACGTTTGGGAGAATGTCTACTTGGTGAGAGAGGACAGAAAGGTGATCTTGGTGATCCTGGACCTCCTGGTCCAAAAGGTGAGATGGGTCCTCAAGGAGCAAACGGCACTGATGGTTCAAAAGGCGAAATGGGGCCAGCAGGAGAGAAGGGAGACACTGGCGCAAGAGGGCCTCCAGGTGCAAGGGGAGTAGCAGGAATGAGGGGGGAGAGGGGAACTAAAGGTGTACGGGGCCCTCGGGGCCCAAAAGGCGATCCAGGTGAGAGCTTGGAGCCGGTTCGTTCTGCTTTCAGTGTGGGTTTGTTCCCAAGTCGGTCCTTTCCTCCACCCGGACTGCCTGTGAAGTTTGATAAGGTCTTTTACAATGAGGAGGGTCACTGGGACCCGGCACTCAACAAGTTCAACGTCACACTCTCGGGAGTGTACTTACTCTGTTATCACATCACTGTGCGCAACCGGCCCCTGCGGGTTGCTTTAGTGGTGAATGGGGTGCGGAAAGTGAGGACACGAGATTCCCTTTACGGCCAGGACATCGACCAGGCTTCCAACCTCGTCCTGATGCAGCTCAGCGAGGGAGATCAGGTGTGGCTGGAGACCCTGAGAGACTGGAACGGGGTTTACTCCAGCAGCGAGGACGATAGCACCTTCTCTGGCTTCCTGATTTACCCTGACTCAACTACAAAAGCAAGCGCTATGAACAAGATTTGACTACAACTTCTAACTATACAACTTTCTTACGTTAACTCTTTTTCCAACTGTGGCTTGTAGAGGCTTATCTCTTAGCTTATGTTTCTGTAAAATATTGCAGCTTAATTTTTTTTTTCTTAAGAGTTACTCTGATCAAGTCAATTATTTTGCATGTTTTACTACACTAGGACACTGAGAGAGCATATTTTTTTGTTTCAAATTTTGTTTCAAAAATAATTTTTAATTGAAACTGCATTAAAATTACTCTGCTTGAAAGAACACTTATGTATGGGCTTTGGTTTGTTCAGAGAGACAGTACTAATTTCATCAAGGACTTGGGATTTCAGTAAGAAAATCACATCAATTCTTGAGACCTTAAATTATCCCAAGTAACCACTAGAGGGCATAATATGCTCATATTTGGCAAAAGTAATTACTGGGGACAATAATGTCGCGTTTTGCATTAAAAGACAAACAAACAGGTTGCAGAAAGAAACTAAAACAAGACATGGCTGTAATTTTAATATCTGAATCTAGTCACTCAAAAAAAAAAAATTAATTAACTTAGAAAATCAGGAAGTTCTCTGCAAACATGTCTGTGACTTGATACTAATCACAGAACTTGATGGAAAACACTCAAAATGTTACTTTGTTTTTGTTTTTTTGTTGTTTCCTTGACTCACTCATAACAGTTAAGTTGAATTACCTTTCTATAATTAGAATGGAATTCTGAATATTAATAATCCTGGCTTATTCTCTTAATAACTAATCACATTTATCACAATCAGATAAATTTTCCATGATTACCGTCAAGCCAACTGATTCTGTGTGTGGAGTGCAACAGCCTTCCACTGCTCCTGAAAGACACACCAGAGATTTAATGTAACTAAAATACATAATACTGATTACATATTTTCTCCAGCTTAAAATTATTTAAGCATTACATACATACATACACACACGTGTGTGTGTGTGTGTGGGGGGAGGTGGGGGGGATGGGGGGTGTGTGTGTGTAGGTGTAGGCCTATGTGTGTGTGTGTGTGTGTGTGTGTGTGTGTGTGTGTGTGTGTTGTATTTAATCTTGTAAACACAGATACTTTTAAGAACACTAAATCTAAATTAATTTAAGTCCCACTTTAATTGAGCTTAGGTTGTTTAAAGAAAAATATTATGTTGCTGTTTTCTGACAATATAAAAGAAAAGATTCAAAACTAAGCCAGTAATACCTGGATACCTCAAAAATGTGAAGATTTTGCTACAATTTCTACAAGTTTTAGTAGTCTGGATTGTCCTTTTTCCTGATGAAGACTTGTCAACTTCCACCGATTGATGAATAAAAAACAAATTCTGTCTTCACTGGCCTTAAGTAAAATATTAATGTACAATGCAACAGAACCTTTCCCTTTATTGGATCATTTGAAATTATAACATTTTTTGCAAACTAAATAATGTTAAAAACGTAATTTACAAGTTTTTTTTTTTTGAATCACCCACAAGCTGCAAGCTAGACATAAAAAATTGCTTTACATTTTATCAATCCAATCCAGGTTTTGTGCAAATGTAAACAAAACAAAAGTTGTTATTGTCTTCCTGCTTCCTCTAGTTTTCAAACGGAGTCTAATTATTGAGGGTGATGTTAACTACGTCTGTGGACTTTATGTCATGAATACATATTTACTACAAAATTACCATGATATGAAACATTAGGAAGAAGGAAATGATATTTAGAATGCCACACTTATGAATATCATCAAATGAGCTGCATGTGTTCTTTAATACACAGAAGACACTGCGGACAACAGTGGACACATCCTGTAGGTTGACAGGAATAAAGGTTAATTGTTAGAAATAAATTAATACGCCTGATTCAAATCTGTTTAGTGCAGTTTAGAGATATTTTGCATAATTTCTTTGATCAAATGATACTTGAAGATATTTGTTTTGCCTTAAAGATTTTTCCGACTCACAAAGAGAAAATTGTCACAAAAACCCTCAACTCAAAAAAAAAAAACACGGTTTATTAAGTACCAGGATATCTCAAGGAGAGCTTTCAGAATTAATTAGGAGTTCTCCATAATTAGGGGAACAGCATTTGTAGACTTTCATGTAAAAAGACAGAAACAACAATGATACCTATTAAAGAGGAAGCCCTATGACATCTCCATCCACTGCAGAAGGACCTAGAGAGTTTGTCAAATTTCCATCTTATTCTCACTGCTGCTTGTGGTGATGGCAATATATTTGTGTCAGTTTGTTGAAATGTTATTTTGCTTGTTTGTTTATGGACACACACACACGCATGCACACACTCACACACATACATAGAGGCATAAACGTGTGCAAGTGTCTAAGTGTGTTTGTACATTTATGTATTTTCAACTACTCGATGTGAAAATATAAATAACTACCTTGGCGGTGTGTGCAGTGTAATCTGTTCCCAGCAGGCTGGATTCCCACTGCGAGAAAGACAGTATATTGTTCCTGCAGCACCGCAGATAACAACTCATTAGCATACTGAATCATTTGGCTGCAAGAGCCACTCTGCCACCCATCTGCACAGAGCTGATAAACGTATACACATACACACTCGCACACACAGCTCGCACCAACAGATCCATGAAATGCGGACACATACACACCAGCCCGTTCGCACGTACACACAAAAACACATAAGCATGCGCTCTCACACATACACATCCTTTCACTCCCTTGCTTTCAGTCCCTCGTATGCTTCCTCTATCGTTCCCTTTTGTGAGCCTGCGTCTTTTCTGAGAGTCAGGAAAACTGAAGCAGGTAAACGTTTGGCAGGCATTAACCCAGAGAGCCCCTCGGTGGAGTTGCAGCTCAGCCAGAGCGGAGCGCAGGAGAGGTCTCCAAACACCTGGTAGTCTCTGATGCTCTCTGGAAGCAATTATAGCCTTTGGAAATATCTCAGTGCTCAGTTTTGAGGTAGTAGGACTGGTAGCACACCCTGTCGCACAAAGTTAAAGTCAACTTCTTAATTTTTTTTTTTCTTTATAAATTATGTTTGTGAAACAACAGTGAATCTTCCATTGCTCAGGAATCTTATTCATGTCCAGTGAATACTTGATCTGCACTTCTGCTTTAACAAAATGCACAGACGCAACAATGAGCAAACGAATGCAGCGAAGGCTGTAAAAACCACTTTCACAATGGCAGGATATCCTGCAGGTCAGCAAGCCATGGTTACCTCCACAGGAAGTTGTCACTTGTTGGGGGTGGAAGTGAGGATTGCAGCGCCCACAGAGGGAGTTTCTCTGAAGAGGTTGCGGTTTTAAACTTAACTCTGTGTTCAAATGAAGCGGGAAATAATTGCTTGGCATTACGCTGCCTGCATGTTTAGATAAGTAATTTACGTCCTACTGTCGTGAAACAGAAAGCGAGACAAAGGATCCTTGTGAGAAAATCAAATGTAAAAGACTTGGAATACAAAATAAGTTCTCGAGCAATGGAATTATCAAAACGTGTGTGTAGCAGGGGAGAAAATGAACTGAACTAAATTGAATGAACTTTAATTAGTCAAATTAAAATGAATTGAAATAAGATGAGGTGAGTTGCAATTAAACAGCCTAAATTACATTGATCTCAGTTCATTAAGACTGAAGTGAACTGATTTCAATTTAACTAACAAAAGAGAGGTGAGGTACCATGAACAGAGATAAAGTGAACTGAAGTGAATTCATCTGAAGTACACCGAATCGACCAGGTAAAAATGTAAATGAGTGAACTGAACTGAGTTGAAATTAACTCAGTTTGACAGAATTAAATCATATTAAGTAGAATTAAATTCATTATATTAAGTTGAACTGAACTTGAGTGAGCTGAACAAATAGAACTAAACTTAATCAATCTGACCAGACATCAGCTGAACTGAATTGAATAGAAAAGAAATAATCTGAATATAAGCGTTGAACTTAATCAAAATGAGCATAACTAAAATTAAACAAATTGAATTGAATTGAATTGAATTGAATTGAATTGAGCTGGTGCTGCACAGTGATGCAGTTGTTAGAACTGTTGCCTTTCAAAATGGTCCTGGATGAGCTAAACCGAAAGGATAGCAAAATAAACTAAATTAATTCAAATGAATACACACCACAGATTCAAAATTCAAATTTTCTCTGTATATTTTATTCTGTTTTTTGTATAAAATTCATCCCTTTAACATTGTATATATTTATAGATACAGCTATCATACAACAAATATGTCATTACCAAACGTACAATGTCCCTTTACTGACTGTAATTCATAAAATACCAAAGGTACCAAGATAAGCTACCAGATTCTGCTCCAAAAACAGAACAACCAACAACAACACTTCCAGGAAACTGCTGGTGTTCTTATGGTATTAATACTGCAAAGTGGTGGTGGTGGGTAGGGGGTAGCTGTGGTGAGAGTGTACGTGTACATGTAAAATGCGGAAACAAAGGGACTTATTTGTGTACCTTGCTAAACTACATTTGCATTATAGTTTAAAAAAAAACATTAAAACATTCATATCAAAAGGACTTAATGAGTCATCTCAAGATTTCATCTGACCCCTGTTTTGTACACTTTAAGAGTACTGTTCATATTGTACCTCCACAACAATTCAAATACATGTGGTTTTTATTCACACACTGTAATTGTTTGACTCTTGAAATATTTGGCTTGATTTTCTAATCACCGGGTGTGACAGAAGCGGTACCACATTTGATGTACTTCCATCCTTTCGTTCGCTTATTATAGAGTTACATGTAGAACTGAATTTCTTTTTTTCCTTCTTCTCGAATCCTGTCTCTTTACAGAGAGTTTTGATAGTAAACCCATTCACAAACACACTATGGTACATCTGAAACCTCATGACTAGAAAGTCACTGTTATTCTATTTTGCAGTGGAAATATAATACTATTTACAATACATACGTAACTGCATCAGAGTCCCACCTGTTCACTGTGTTAACAGCCTCTCGCAAACATTTATTTTATTATTATTGTTCCACCCGATGAAACTTGCTCCACTTATGTCTTTATGTTTATGTCTTGGCATTTTGGACCAGGTCACCTGCAAAACTGTCCAAGCAAAGTGGATCAATACCATATTATGCACCATTTTACAATCAATGGCGAATGCAGATTTAGCTCAAAATGAACTCCTTATGCTTAACGTTTTCCAAATAACGAGTGTTGAATTAAAATGTTTTTCTTTATGGTTTCATTTCAGAGGGTGTCTTTGGAACTTTCAATGTGTAGA